TTTAAAGCGAATCTGTTCTTGCCTCATCCAACGTAATCGCCCACGTCTGAAAGCTGGATCACCTGCCATTAACTGAGAAACACGCTCCTCTTTAGCAAGATCATCATTCTCACTTCTTTTCAAGTCATCTGTGGCCTTCTTATCCATATCCACCGCACTGGCAGAGTTTGGAGACTTCGCATTTGCTATGGTTGACTGAGCTTTCTCTGGAGACCCTATCAGAGGCAAAACCTTCTCCATTTTTAGCATCTTATTTCTAAGAACTTTTATCTCTTCATCCTTCATGTTGTTCTGTTTCTTCACTTCTTGCAAAATATCTTCCAATTTGTCTATATGCACCTTAAGGTCATCCACATCAGTTATTCCTTTACCATTGGCCATAACATCTTCAATTTTCTCATCTCCAACTCCTACTGTATCCCAGACATCACGAGCAACAGCTCGCCATGATTCACGCTCATTTGGATCTTTTTTCCCATACATGGCACAAAGCTCTTTCATTTTAACAATGGCCAGAGCCTCAATCTCCTGCCTAGTGTGCCTGAAGTCATTGAGTGCTACCTCATAGCATATCTCTTTCACAGCCTGAATCTTTAAGTCTGAGATGGTAACCCATTTGGAGTCTTTGCTAAGGCGTCGACGCTGGGGTATCTGGTACATTTTAATAGGCTCTCGTTTCTTCCCACTGCTGGGGAGGCCACACTTTTTTACAATGGTTTGGAGCTTGCTGGGGGGCAGCTTCTCTCTCAGGGAAGTGATCAGTCTCCAACTCTCCTCACACGATCTCTTGTCCGAATCATCCCCACTATCAGAGTCTGCATCCTTTGGAAAAACAAAAATCAAGAAGTGGCCCCAAAATAACCAAAATTAAAATTGTAAGAAAACGGAAAAGCTAAACAAGAAGTAGCAGGCAAAGAAAACTAAATCAAAAATCAAAATAGAACAAGTGATAAGGAAGTCCCCTGAAGACTGAGTGTTAGGACATTAAAACGTATCTTCAAGAGTCATGGACTGTCAAACTGGAGCTCTTCACTAAATTAAGATTAGCATTATATTTAAAAGTCTTGTCAACTCAAAATAGCAGATAATCTAGATTCTTCCCTCCCAATCCCTTCTGAAATCTTTAAACAGATCAACTAAGCCCAAGTTCCTGATCAAAAAAAAAATTAAAAACCAAGTGTAAACTACACTTCACACATGCTACAAAGTCATGCAAATCCCCGCCACACACATTTGCCTTGGTGACTGCTGTTGCTTCTTTCAGCAAATCCTCCCCAGGTAGGTGAACACAACAGCCATCATAGAAGATGTCATGAGCAGCCAGAGTAAGTCGGGTTAACACTGGTTAGTAACGTTGCACGTAGTTGCAGGGATGCTCAAGTTTAGAATCCACTTCACTACAATAGCAGCCAGAGAAGTGTTAGACGATAAGAAAAAATGAAACAGAGGCAGCCGAAAGGTTCAATGTTAAAAGGACTGTAAGTGCCACTATGACAGGTGAAGACAGTGGTTCATACTCCAAGACTCGCTACAAGCTAAAAGGATATCCAGAATCAGAGTTTCACAGGTGGGTTGTGGTTTGGGGTTTTTTTCCCCATTTGTCACCTTGTTGCTTAGTTTAAAGAAAACAACAAACATTAACAGTCTTGTCTGTCCGAAGAATGAGTTTCAGAAGAATGTAGCAGTAATGACTTATTTTTTTAATTGTTTTAATATGAATTCTCTATTTGATATCCTTGATTTGTCCTCTTCTCAAACCCTAGAGCCTGGAGCTTCCACACACTTGCTAAGAGTTATGCGTGTTTTGCTTCTTCATTACAAGTTTTCCACCTTTTGCTAAATGATTTTTAATGAGCAGTGCTTCAGGTTTCCATATGCTAGGAATGTTTGTTCAAGTATACTGCCTCCAGAAGTTAAGGATATCCATTATTGCTTACTGCAACCAGGAATTAAAGTCAGACTACTTTTCTTTAAAGGATTATTAAGTTAAGACATCTCTTTAACAAACAGAAAGTCTCATGGATTATTGTCATCCAAACATCTTCAATAAAACACCGCAGTCAGTCTCTAAAGAACCTCTATCTAACATCCCTGGTTTTTACAGAAAAAATTATAATACATGAGAAATCAGGAACAGTAACAGCCAGTTACTCTAAAACCAAAGGAAACCCAGGTCATGGATTCAGAACCACAGGTTCCTAGACTTAAGACTTCGGGTAGAAGACCACGAAGAATGGGGAATACAATAAATTTGGTTTGGGAATGATGAAAGGGAGTAAAAGAAATTTTTTTTCTGCCGTACGGTCAACAAGCTCCATATCCTAAGATTCACATTATTTGAGCTTCTTGTGACCTTATGCACTAGAGTATCAACTTCTGATTTAGGTCAAAATATAAGCAAAGCACTCCTTTAGAAACAGAACATAAACTCTTTGTGAGTTTAAAGCCAACAAAATTTGTGGCCTAAGGAAACAGCATCTAACAAACTGCATATTGCAGTGGAAACAGAAGATGCCCTGGAGGAAGACACTGTACAATCTACACATTCAAGGTTATGTCCAGAAAGGCAAAACACGAACTACTCAAACATTAAGTCACAAGTTCCACAGGATTATTCTTATAGGTTACAAAATTACCATATTACTACTTATGGGTAAAGCATGTCTTGCATATAAAAAGCTGATTAACAGACACTATGTGGTCACTACTACCCTGCGTGCACTCAGAGGTTAACCAGACTCGTTAATATAGGTATACACGCGCAGTCTAGTATCAAGTGGTCACTGCAACGGCATTATGACCAAGAAAACCAGGGAGATAATTTTAGCCCTATTAAACACATTATCCCATTCAATTTGTAAGAGGGGAACAATTATTTCTACTCCCTAGTAATACTAACAAGGCAAATATATATTAGTTGTAAATTTGGGAGGACAAAAACTATTATTTATCTTTTTTGTATAACACATCTAAGAAATACCCAAATTGGTTGGAATCTCAGCACAAAACCAAAACAATCAGGTAAACGGGATTAGACAGCTTCTTATATCCAAGATTATACTCCAATTTAGAACAAGATGAATATTTATATTTCAATATCAGTCTTACATAGCAGTAAGTTAGAGAACCTGATATTGCAGCTGGATATCGCAGCAATGTAAATACTTTTAAGGTACACAAGGTGAAATGCATTCCCACATTTCCTAATCATTAGTCAACTACTGTGTATGAATGCATTAATCCTGTCCATTCCAGACCCTGCATACAGTGACACAGAAATGACGAGATGGGTTAAGAGTTTTGCTGTCATCTGAAATATTCTTATTAAGCATTGCGATAAGCAGGCTACTGCTTAACAGACCAGTGATTTAAATTGATATGAACCCTCACAACTAGGAAAGGCGTCCTTAAGGAACTACATTGGTAATGCATGTAGGATAGTCTTCCGCCTTTGCCCACTAACTGACATCAGCAAAACCAAAACAATCTTAAAGATATCAGCAACTTTATTACAGTATTAAACAACCTGCTATCTAAAGAACCTTCCCTTAATCTTAAATATATGAGGAAAGAAATTCCCTTCACAACAGTTACAAACACAGCCTTACTTGAAGCAGCCCTCCAGACAGCCAATTCTCACCTCTTTAATTCATACAATAGATTAGTTTATGCCCATCAGCTAAAATTTAAGGGAGGGAATTCCATTACTTGCATCTCCCCTGACGCACAGGCAAACCTTACTCAATACTCAAAACTATTTTTACTTTGACATTGAATTGATTTTTGCCATACTACTTTCAGCTGCACAAATTTCAACTATAAAATTGCAGAGGTGAAACGTATTATTAGTGACATCTTAACTTGCTTTCTCAACTAAGTGTTGCTTTGGTTCAAAGTCTGCAGCCACTCCTCTCCATCCAAGAAATTAGTCCATTACGATAAAATAATTAAGAGATGCAGAAGTCTTTAACTGTGTAATATAATTTTAAAAAATAGATTCTACCTATGGAAGCCACAGTACTTTGCTCCATTCTGGTTTGGGGAGGAGGGGAAGAGCTTTACAGTTTAAAACCCAGCATGCATTTAGCGCACAGTTTTCACTGTTCTCAAACTAATACTACAAGTGAATTATGATTTCGAAATTTTTATTAGAATTCAGGCACAATTATGGCTAAAAGACAACCCAATGTAGTTAAAGCAGAATCAGGAGACTCAAATTTCTTAAGGAAATCTAGATTTCATTCCTGGGCTTGGTCTTGTTTTTAAAATTCACAGGGTGCTTGAAGACTCCATGCATTTTTATTTGTAATGCACTTCAGAAGATATTTGTTGGGTGAAGACTGAAGTCTTCCTATATCAGACTTAATTTATCAGACTTTCTATTTAAGAAATAGGTGGGAAGGTGGAATTCCCATTGTTCTGAACAAGTTAAATTCCCTTTGCACACTGCTCCCTAGTCATAAGCCCACCATTGCCATGTGTACCATTAAGACCCTTACAAGGAACTCCATGCAGGGGAGGGAGAAGGGTTAAAACATGCACAATGCAGCAAGATTTTCAGACATCATTCAAAATAATAAACCTAGCACATCAGTGTTCTAGGAATCTCTTTGGCAGCACAAAATTAGTATGTTCTGGTGATCCAAGACAAAAAAATAAAGGCAAACATCCCAAGAAGTAGCTGTTTAGACTACTGAAAAGGAACTTCAAAAAAAACCACAGAGCATAGAAATGCCCTTCTTACAGGTTAACTTGCAAGAAATCGAACCTGTCCCAACAAGAACTGATTAAAGCCTCTTCATGGTCAATTACAACCTCTGAATTCACATGAAGGAGCTCACTCACACTGATAATAATTCACTGTAGACACAAAGTATTTGAAGCAAAGGGAGAACTGCATTGTGCAGACAACCCAAGCAGGTTTCCTAGACTTTCAGATAAGCAAGGACAGGAATTACTGTTGGCCAAAGGTATAGTTAATCTGAAGTAAGGACACGTACCAGCCTTTGCTGCTCCAACAAGAGATCAGCTTCCTCCTTCTCTTTCTTATACAAAATCTCCATTTCTTGTAATCTGAAGATGAACAAAAGAACAAAATAGTCAAAGAGATCATTATTATGATGTTGGTGTTACTCTACACACACAGCCCACCAAATTACAAGATTAAAAGTCCACTTAAAAGCAACTGTTACTTGTCTATTATAGGACTATAGAAATGAAACTTCCTATAAGCTACAGTTCAGCCCTTCACCACGAGGTGTGTAGGGTCAGCAGCAGGTGCTTCCCTGTGATTTTTAAAGGAGCCAGAGCACTAAACACTGAAGTAAAATAATGAAGAAGCTTTCTGAACTTTCACAATAGGTAGCAGAGATGCTATGTGGCAGAACCTAGACTTAGGTTTTGCACAGACATCACCCAAATAACCTACAGCTGACTCCTCCTTGTTTCAGGTAGAAATTTTGAGTTATTCTGTTACCTTTTCTCCATCTCCTGCTTCATGTCAATGCCCTGCTTCTCCAGAAGCTCCCTCTGAGCAAACGTCCAGTCAACTGGCTCAGAGGGAGTCTCAGCTGATGGTGTTTTCTCTCGTTCTGCTCGTGCTTGCTCTGGATGGTTGAATCTGAAGACATGATTTTTACCCATGATTATACGATTCCCTAAAAATAGGAACAGAAGTTAGCTCTGGATTCCAAAACCATTGAAAAACATCACTGAATGATTCATCTCATCTATCCTGTTGGGTGACAGTGTAAGAAAGGACTGCCCTATAAGGATTTCTGTACACACTGAAGTTAGCTAGGTGACAAGAAAAAAAACAGAATGCCTGGTTTGTACAGAACAAGCCACTGCTGATAAGCAGTGCTCCTAGAGAAACATACCACCCTCAGGGGTCCAATCTAATATCTCAGCAGAGCTTATCAAAAACTAAAGGACAAACTTAGAGACTGACCAACAGTTGCAGTGAATAAAACACATCACTAAATCCCATTCCTCACCTCCAGTAACAGTGCCAAAACATGGGCAAAAGCCACTTGAGCAGAATTTTCTGCTTGGAAAAGCTTCAAGCACTGGAATGCATGGTGCTTACTTTTCTTTAAAAAGTGGTTTACATGTATTGATTTGACTGGAGTTATAATCAGTGTTATTTATGGATTTTACAGCTTCTTTTACACTAATGTCAGAAGAGCTGAGCTGAAGAAATCTAATACTGTTAAGTATTTGGCTAAATCCTAGAGATACATGTCCACAAAGCCTGTGACATGTGCATGACTGAAGTGAGTAAAATGCCTCTTCTCTTCCAGAGAAAATATTAATGTAGTTGAAATATTAAAATGACATTCTAGTAATTAGACCTCCAAAGTAACCAAAACTGTCCTTATCATTATAGTACTAATCTACAGGCTCTTAAAAGATGACAGAGACCATGTCTGTATTCCTCGAGTAACTCAATTATCCAGATGCAGAAGGGGGAAAAAAAAAAATCAATCTACTTTTTCTTAAAAAAACATCATGGTATTCAATATGAGCCATATGCAGGTACAAAACAACAAAGAACTGTTCTTCCTTCATTGTCCAGACTTGTGCTGAAGTCAGTACTCTTAGTTCCATGAAAATATAACTTGGTGCAAGTAATTCAGAGGTGGGGTGGTTTTGTTTGGTTGATTTTTGGTTTTTTACCAGTGGAAAAATGGGGGAGGGACACAGAAAGCACATAGCTTGACAGAGATAGGTTCAAACTCATAATTCAGGGAAGTCACTCCCTCCTAATTCTTCCCTCACATGCCTTTCTACAGGAATGTAGGGGACTGAGTGGGAAATCTAATGAGAGCAAAGAGAAGCTGTTGTACTCCTGCAGAGGGTCATATCTTAGCTTTGCCAGGAAACTGGGAATTTTCCATCAGCAACTGGCAGTCTGTCTGCTCTGTCTCACTAAGACTGCCAAGGGCAATAGGCTTGGGCAAGAATGTATTTGAATAATATCAGGGTAAGCAGAAGGACAAGCAGGATGCTGCGTGGCAGTGAATATTTTAAGTACACTTACAGCGAGTGCAGCAAAGAGTAAAGGAAAACGAACTGCTGCCAAAAGTTTCTTACCTGAACGCAACTGCACAGGCTGCACAACCCTCTTGCCATTAACATAGGTTTCTGATCGTTCACAAGGCTCCAAAGTAACAATAACTATGAAGACAACAACATGGACAAGTGAGATTTTAGAGAGCACTGCACAGCAACAGAAGTGTGCAAACCCTAGAGACTTTCTGCCTATCTTTCTGCCACTACCACCAAAACCAGATACAAGTGAAGCACTCCTTCATGCCATGCTGGTTAAAAAAAGAAATAAAGCCCCATGAGCAAATCAATACTACTGGCATCTCCACATACTGCAGTTTGAAATTATTATTCTTCCTGTTTGAATTTTCATGTTTATAGTTAACCAAGATCAGAACTTAACTCTGATACTGACTGCAGCCTGCAATTTGAAGATATTATCACTTCAATTTTCTTCCCTTAAAACTCAAGAAACAGTAAGTCAATGCCAATGGTTTTCTTGAGGTAAAAGAAACTCTCAAATGACAGTATTTCTTGGCCAACTATCAAGTGAGGAGTGAAAGATTCATCAATACTTTGCTAGGAGTAGTTTTTTTACCTTCACCATTGTTATTCCTCTCACTTCGAAAGATACAGTGTTCTTCTTTGATATGAGCCCCACTCAATACAATGTCTTGCCTTCTCTCAGCATCAGCTTGGCCAACCCTGGGTCCAATAAAAGATATTTAAAGAGCAAATCAGACACTTTCTACAACTCTGTGTAGGACAACACAGCCCAGAAATACCCTGAAAAAAAAAGTCTAAGCTATTAAGACTAGCCTTCAAGTTTAAAGGTTTAAACTAGCGCGAACTCTGCGTTGCAGAGAATCTACCAGATTTACCATGACTTGGAAGGTGACAAAAGAAAAGATCTCTCTCTTAAAACATGTAACTTAAAGAGAGAATTGAAATGTTAAACACCTCTGGGTTTAATCCATTTCCTTCGCTCTTGTGTAGCCCCTTCTCCCTTTAGCAAAGGGACACAGAAAAAAAAAAAAAAATTTGACAGGAACTTCCAGTGGCGCATTTCAGCTGGCATAGAGTGATCATCACTTCCAATAATCACCATCTGCACTTCAAAACAGGAGCAAAAATGGCTCAGGAGACTCTTGCTGAATAACTTGATGCCACAAGCAGTTTCATCCAGTTTCCAGACAGGGAGAGGTTGGCTGTATCCCTGGCACATGAAGATTTATGTCTATTCCACACTCAAATAATTGAGCAATTCTAGATACAGACAACTTAATTTTCAATCCTATGTTTAGAAACTTCTTGTTGTACTTATTACTCTACACATTTCTGACATCAGCTAGCTACTCTCAAAACTTACAATGATTTCTTAAACCCTAAGATATCCTGTGCTGAATTCTCTACAAGTTTGATATTCTTTTCAGTAGGTCCTATGCACACTGGAGTAGGACCACACAACAGCACCTGCCTGTGCACTCTTCGCCAGGAATATACAAACTAAGCAACCAGACATGGCTTAGTGCTCCAAAGATAATAAAAATCACCTTTCTTCTTCCAGATGTTTTGACAAGTTTTGGAATAAAATCCATTTTAAATTCCAAATCTGGCAATAAAATTTAATCTCATATATGTGAATGCAGAATATATTAATTATGCGGTCTAAATAATGAAGAGAACACTCATCCATATTCCAGTTGCTTTTAACAAGTACTAAGGTTTTCAATCTTCCACTCATCGAAGTCTCAAAGGTATTTTCAATAAGTTTTACTTCTTTTGTTTTCCTATATCTTAGAAGGGATATCATGCTTTCTTTTACTGCCCAAATGCAGTAACGAACTTCTTATACAGCTGAGTGACTGCAAACATTACTTTTAAAGCACAGAATCAACTTAAAAGAAAATGCATTTCTGTACGTTTTCTACCTACAGCAATCTCATGCTTCATTGGTACCTGCTAGTTGAATAGCTCAAGGCACAATTATTACTTAAACTCATGGTGTCCCCAGCATGGGGATTTGAGCAAGCAAAGAAGCAGACTTCAGAGCATATTAGAACCAATCCTCACCTAGTAATACCATCTTTGATGTAGTAAAGCAGACATTCAGACATGAGTGGATCTTCATTAAGGTTTACAAGATGAGGAGTCTGACAGAACAAAGAGAAAAGTTAATTAAGCACCAAGGATCTACTTTCAGTCTTCTTCCCACAGCTGTGGAGGATGTATATTAATCCAGCAGTTTTACTATGTATATCAAGGTCATTTCACAATGCATTTTTTCCAATATAATCTCCTGCAGTACTGAAGAGCATCACAAAGTAACAGCAGAAACAGATCAGATTGCTTAGTTATCTGAAATATCAATCACGGGAATAAAAGCTTCAGCTGGGAAAAAAAAAATTACCTGTAAAGTTTCTGTACACTTGGGTAAAGAGAAGTCCAACAGCAGAAAAGGTTGTTTCAGCAAAATTTTGAAACTGATGTGGAATCAAATTTGGCTTTTCTTGGGCAATACAGGCCAGGTGTTCATTTGGCAAAGTTTGTTAACATCAAAAGAAAATCTAAAACTACCAACGTTCTCTTGATACAAACAGCTAAAAAGCTCTTCATCTAAAGTTCTTCTAAATTTAAATCCACTACGGTCACTAAACCAACCTTCTTTGGTGAAAAAACCCCACTGGAATCAGCAAACAAGTCACAAGGCCTTGGTGTGAAAATCTAGCCAGTGAGATAGCAGTAAGCACAAGCACAAAAGAAAAGGCAAAAATGGTTAAACAGAATTAAAGAATATGATAAAAGAGAAATAAAACTGTTAATAAGCCACTTGCCCCTTTGTTACCCTTAAATAGAATAAATTTAACAAAAGGAAATAAATTTGGCTACAATTCCTTGGAAACATTGCTTCCATCAACTTACTGTCACTGCAAAAACATTTACTATCAACAGAAGCTACAAAAATTACTGGACATTCATAATGAAATTTGTCTTTGAATGACCAAGTCTGATTGTCACTTGCCCAATGAAAGATTTAACTAAAAAACAGAAAGGGAAAAAAAGACAGACACGTTTTTCACACCTAAATATATAGTGGCCACATAAAACTGCAGCTGAAGATGTCCCATGCCATCATGGTTATTCACTGCATTCAGATCAACATTTGGAGCTGTATAAAGCTCTTAAATCAAGAGAAAACTGGAGAGAAACTAAATCCCAAACATCGTCAACTGCTGTAGCACCACTATAAGTTGTACCACCTGGACACTTTGAAAATAATGCTGTACCTTATACACACGTGCTTTAGCATCCGATTTCATTTACTACACTAAATCAAAGTCTGAATATGGTTCTTTCACAGGCAACAGAGAGCTCTGTAAGAAATAAAACTCAACAACATGCAAGATGATGCTAGCAAAAGTGACTGATCCCTCATTCATCCACAGACAGTTAGGTCAACTTTCTCCTGTACAGTATTCCTCAAGCACAAGCTGAAGGATTTTTCCTGCTCCCATCTTTGATGGAGCAGAAGCAATTCAATTTCCACAATCAATTTCAAGACGTTTTCTGCCATCAAGGCAAAAGCAGCAGATACAGCAATGATTGCACAACATGATACCTTTTAATTTGTGAAGTGGGCTAAGTTTACCTTACAGAGTTCAATTTACAGCTCAGCTGGTAAAAACAAAGTGCTGTCCTAGCAGCATATGATTAGATCCATACTGGTACCTCAGAAGTGTAAAGCCTTTATGAAAATACCCTTCAATTTTCTATGTACATCTCCTAAAGTTTCACAACAGCAACCACAGTTACTAGAAGAACAACTAATGAAATTTAAGTGCAAGGATAGCAAGGAACAGAGACAGACAGGGCTAGGTCAGGAGGTTTACTTCTCCTAATAAATCCTATATGGGTAAAAATAAATACTATCTAGTACCAAAGCAACTACTAAATCCAGCTGGCATTTATACACAAACCTGATCAGCTGAAAATGCATCAAAAGAGTCATCAAAAAAAGCTGAGGGCCTCTGAGGCAAAATCTAAAAGGAGATGAGGATCCGTAACATAAGAGAAAGAAATTTAAAAAACACTCAACGACTTAGTGTCTTCACAAACCTTAGGCATTTCTGGAGTATACACCAAAAGCAAACCAGAGTTTCACCTACTCAAAACCTAACCATCTAACACTAAGAGATGGATTAAACATTTTAACCAATTCTGCTGTACTGTATTTCTGTACAGTGACTCTAGATAGGTCCCCATTTAATCTTAGATTGTTTGTTACACACCTGCACATGCAAGTTACAGCTAAAATATTACCCTGTGGTTTTTGTTGAAACATTTTTGCAATACAAGAAGGTACATTCTTTTCCTTGTACTCCAGTAATTCTGCTTTAACTCCAGCTTCCTCACTAACTTGATCATTTTATATTTATAGCACTAGTTTATGCCCTTTTCCTGCTTCTTTCAAATTTCAGGAAATAGAACTATTGACATGTACCAAAAGAAATTCTCCCCTGCATCCCCCCATGTTCAGTGGTTCATTAGATTACAATTCCTTTTTCCAAGGCGGAAGAAGGGTTAACAAAGGAATTAAAGGAAGAGCACCAAGACTTCAAAACTTTCCTGGGTATCTCAAAGAATAGGTGGAGTACATTAAGGTCACACACAGCTACTGCAGAAAATGGCCACAACAATCCAAGAGGCAGCATTTCTGTGTTACTGCCAAATTGACAGATATGCAAGGAGGCTGCAAATGCTTCTCCATGCAGCACAGATTCTTCTAAAGGAAGATACAAAAAAGCTCAACCATTTTTTGGTATCAAAAGTCTCCCTATGAACTTTTCACACTGCTCCTATTTTCATCCCTGTATTAGGCTAGAACATGATTCCCTACTTTAACAATCAGTGGAAGCTACCACAGGCAGTTCTTTCTGCAGCTCCCTAAAAGCATGAAGTATTATGTTGCATCACTTGCATGAGGAACAGCATCCAACTTTGTTATTACAAGCAAAATAATGCTTAGATGGAGAGTGTTTTGATAGATTCTAACACTAAAGCTATTTCCAAAAAGATATAGTAAAAGAAACTTACTACTAAGGGTTCAAACCTCATTTATGCTCTTCTGTATCTTACATGAATACAAGCCCTTGTGTGAATGGTATCTCCCTCAACACCCTCTCCTCCCAGCTTCATCAGCCTTCTGGAGACAAATAGTTATCAATTTTCTCTACCTTTTTAGGTGAGAAGACTCCCAGTGTTCCTCCATCTTCCCGAATGGCAACTCCCATTTCTGCCAACAATGCCTCCCTGAGAGAAAAAAGATATTTACCATATTTTAGGCTTCTTAAATAAAATAAGATCTAATGAAACTTATGTAATGAAATATATCAGACTTTCAACCAGCCTATCCATCGACTAGACAGCCAGGACTGTCACCACCTTGTAACACAATAGGGCAAGTTTCTAGAATGTAGTCCTAGAGTTTATAACCTGCAGGATGGCAACAGCAAAAATTTTACAGAGATTTAACAGCACTTGAGCGCAACCATGTATCACAAGATAAGTACATTTTAGGATATTACAGTCATTGCTTTCTTTAAGGAAGGTTAAAGTCTGTTCTAAATTTCAATATTTAATTTATGTAAAAGGATCTACCACTTTTCATTAATTTACAAAGACTTAACTGGCTTGTCCTGATCTAACAGAGGAAGTACTCTCTCCTTCTTAAGACATAAAAAGGATTGTGTTGGGTCAAACTGTTCATGTAACAAGTATTCTTGGTTTTGACAAGAGTACAACAGTGACACCAACACAGAAGAATAAGAACATGGCAAATAGTGTGATATTTTCCCCAAAGTATTATCATAATCTCCCAATTTATTCCTAAGAAAATTCCAGAATTGTGGCATTTCTTTTAAACAGATACCCAAAGTTGTTTTGCTGGTTTTGAGGTTTGGTCTTTTTTTTTTTTTAATTCAACTCATACCACCATCCACATCACACAGTAAAGACTTCCACAATTCACCTATGCATTGTGAGAACTTCCTACTTGTTTCAAATCAGCCGTCAGCCTTAAAGTCCCTTAGCTCTGTCAGTGAATAATGAATCTCTATCCACTTTCTTCGTATACCTCTCATAATTTTACGGACTGCTCAATCACATTGTTTCCAGCCAAAGACGTTCCCCTTACATATTTTTTAAGCTTTTAATATTCTAATAATTAATGCTCTGTTTGGTTGCACCCCCTTCTGACAATTATTAAGAATCTGTCTTATTGCTTTAAGACACAACTCAAACCAAAGCTGGAGTCGTTTCACAGTTTTAAATACTCTGGTATTAAAACTTACTATTTTCTGCTTAACTTTAGGGCTAGAATCATTGTAATGTAAGAGAACGGTGGGAGAAGAGCGAGCCCAGGACTCCATGCTGCTTCACAGCAGAAGCCCGTGTAGCAGTTTAGGATGTTACCTGAATTACAATGGTAAACACTAACTGTAGGAAACACAGGAAAGAACACAGCTTTCTCTCAGCATTGCCCCTACTGTTATATATATCACAAAGTTCAGTAGAATTATCACTAAGCACTATTCTGCTGTTCTATTGCTTCTGAACAGAGTAACATTCTCCATTTTCCAAACTTCTCCATTTTCTAGAGACCATCCACATTGACAGCACTTCCAATTCCTGACCTTTCCATCCTAATGGCCTCAGTTTTCCGCAGCTTTTCTTCCCATGTTTCGTTCAGCTCTGCAATGATCTTCTCAGATTCCTGTGTGAAAACCCCAGAAGCTGTTTTACTATTCTTCTCAAAGTTCTTCACATAATACACAAAGCAAGCGAAGTTTGTGCTCAGTTCTAGACCTCAAATTAATTTTGTATATAAAAAGTACTCCCAGCACTTTAAAATTCTATGTTGTCTTCCTTAATTTTATAAGGGTAAATAGCCTTGAAGGAAAGCTGAGAAAAGACAACTTCATATCTAACCACAGTCAAACTTTAATTTGAGCCACCTAAATTATTTTTCCTCTTCTCTGTTTTTTAAAATCTGATTTACAGACATCATTCAGCAACTGGATGCCAAGAACTGCAGAGACCACACTGTTATTTCCATGGCAACAGCCAGTTTCCAATAGGAAAGGGATATGCAGTGTCTGTTCCAGCCCATTCCAATCCCTGTGGCAGTGTCTCATGGACAAGACATGAGAATGAAGCATAGATTCAACACAGCCAGCTCTCCCCACTCATCCACCCATGGAGACTGGGGGGGGAGTTTCATAAAAATTAAGAAATACTTCACTGTAATGCACTTTTGATGCGGTTCAATACTATGCAGAATTGGGACAAGGCCGCTATTGTCTGGATAAAGCATGCTATTCTGTGTGCTTCACATTTTAATCTGTGGGGGCTGGGTGAATACAACAGTAGCAGGATTATTCTTCCTCCTTTTTTCAACTTTGGGGTAATTTGGTTTTCTGAAAGCCGAGTGCATTTGCTAGTCAGACTTTGTCCACACTAGTGCTGACCAAGATCTCCTGAAGTCTATACTTATGATCAAATTTTCCATAATTACCACTGCATCAGAGGACCTGTAAACAAGAATCAAGATTTTCATTTATAATTCAGTTGTCACTCCAGGCCACAATTAAATCTAAATAATCCTAACAGGAAAGCCTGTGCCAGTTTCTACTCCACCACAGTTAAGTGCCCTTTTTAAGGTGCAAGTGGGTTTCAGACAATGTCCTACAGAAGAGCATACTAGACATATTTATGAAGGAAAATTCTCCTGGGTTCACTGCTATTTAGCTTTGGAAAAGACCAAACTAATAGCCTCCTAATCTACAGCGATACCTACCTTCAAACGTTCAATTGCCTCTTCTCCTCCAGGTGTTGACATGATTCTTTCCTGTATACTGGACACAGATGTTAAGCCCACCTGACTACTGAGAGAGCAGGAGGATGGAGATGCAGTGAGGGACCCCATGGAGGCTGTGGAAAAATTGCCAGGACGTTGATTCTCGGAGGCTAGCAAGTATCTATGTTTATTGTTCTGAAAATCTTTCAAATCTGGGAGAGAGACACACAGACAGAGGGAAGGCAGAAAGATGGGAAAAAGGAAAATAGGAAAAGGGAAGGAAGAGGAAAAAGGAAAGGAAGGAAATACCAGTGTAAGAGGAAAGCATTTAAGCAGCAACAAGACAAGTTTTTTAATTTTTTAGATGGCAGTTCTGAAACAAATCTTTGAATATTAGTATCCATAACATAATAACTCAGTTCAGACCCTGAGGATTATTAGTAAGGCCTGCATCATAAACCATTTTGATCATAAAAATCTGAAAAAATGAATTACACAGCTGCCAAAAAATAAAACATCCTATTCCTAACTGAACACTGAACTGAGCACCATGGAGATGGGGAGCAGATTCAGTTCCTCATGAGATTAGTGACACTGTGGGCTGAAGTCTGAACAGACACCAACCTCTTAAACCCAGCAAAACATTCTCTTCCAGACTCCTTTAATCTAAAATGATGATTCAGTAAATCTTTATCACAGTAGTGGTTCTGCGGCTGAACCACCCAGACTACAAGGACAAAGAACTACTCCTCCTTAAACTCTCACAGGAGAGTATGTAAATCACCTGTCAGTCCATGACTGGGAGAAGAGAACACAAGTTCACAATAACATCATTATGTTACTTCGTGACCCTCATTATGGAAATCTAAGATGCCTGATCAGTGAAATATCTGATAAGGCTCTCATCCTTCAGAAAGTGCTTTAAAGCTTTTTAGTCTTAGTTTAGATGAGGAAGGCCTTAAAAACCCCAAAATTTAATAGGGCAGCTTTTGTAGCCTGGCAACCTGGAGGCCTCAAAGATGCCTCCTTGAAAGACAGAAAACAAGAAACAGGTGTATGAATGATTTAAGAACAAATATCCAAAGGCAATTTATTTTAATCTAACAGCTTCTCAGATATGTCTGTAAACCAGATCCTCAGAATAATCACACACGAAAAAAAAACCTAAAATCTTCTAACATGGAAATATCAGACAGCTAAACAGCTCAGTTTTAATAATTTTGCTAGTTTAAAATTCTATTTCAAAAACAAATCCTTTAAAATAAGTATCCTTAGGAAAGAAACAGGTCAAACCAGACCTTGCAAGTTATAAACAAGGGCTTCACACTTAGAAAAATGAGGTGCTCACCCAGACATTGCATAAATTTCCATATCCTCCTACACCTTCTCTACTCTTACCCTGAACAACTCTGCTATTGTCAGCCTTATGCCCTAGTTCACTCCACATTCAACCTGCTGTTTCAGCCTCATGAAACTGATGATTGCATCAAGTCAGTTTGAAAACCACCATCTGCAAATAGAGGAAGCAGGGGTGGGAGTTTAACAGAAGAAAAGCAGGTTAAGGAAAGGGAATGCCATCGGGATGAGGAAAGCAGGCATGACAGCAGCGAGGATGAAATCTCAATAGACACATGCACTCCTGAAGATAAAGGAAGTGGCACTTGCAATAGCTTTCACAGTTGCTGTGACCACAGAGAACCAAACCCCTCAACATCATGCACGCTTCTCCTGGAGGCTGCAGCTTTCACACAGATGACATATGCACACGCTGGAAGCAGCATCAGAACATAAGACAAGGCCAGGATGAGTCTTTACACAACCAGTAGCCTTAATTGTAGGAAATTTCAGACAGATCTCTTCCAGTTGATATTGTTTGAGCGAGGGTGAAGATGACTGACTGAAAGAGTTTAAAAAGTCTACCAACCCAAAACTTACATAGAATACATTCCTCTTGCAATGGACTACATATATTTCCCTTTCATAAAAGCAAACAGTAGAACAGAAATAAAATGCTATTTGCTGACTGGTTTTAACCCTATTAAGTTAATCATCTGCAACCAAGTATTTGAGCTCAAATATGAGACCTTCATCAGCGTAAGATGTGCAACTTTTTTTGTTTTTTTTTAAAGAGACTATACAAAATAAATAAATCTCAGTCTCCAGGAATAACTGATAACATTTCATCTTGAGTTCATCAATTGACACATTTAAAACAAATATTTCTAGGTTGAAAAGAGATGTTAAAAGGCCAGGAAGCTAGGTGAGCAGAAGCCATTTCAACTGAGTAACTTGAGAAAGATTTAAAAAAAGATTTTCTAGTTCAAATCTAAACTGTTAGCTGTCATGAAAACAGACTAAGGAATTACCACTCTCCCTTCTATACTCTGCCAGAAAGAAAGAAATGAACATATGCTGCATTTTAAATTTTGCACTTTTTGACTGTCGACTCAATCTAAGAAATGCTGGTTAAGCTAGTTTCCATGAAACTGCATTGCATTCCACCGTGAGTGTTCTGTCTGGGATTTCCCTGTGAGAAATGCTGGCATGCAAAGCTCAGTTAAAAGCTGACCCAGAGAAAGCAGGTTAAAAAGAGAATCACACAATACACACATTTGCCTCCACTTCCAGAGTATTCATCTCCCATTGGATCAACTGAAAGGAAGCAGGAGGGAAAATACAAGAAGGATCAAAATTGAAGGTTCACTAGCCACAGAAAGGGAAGAGAATACTACTTGATGTTTAAAGAAACAAAACACAATTTTCAGTAACACATAGTATTTTCAGTTTTGATTTAGAACCAAAAACCACAGACTGTACCAAGCATGAAAACACCTGCATTTCATTGTCTTCTGGCCCCATTCTCTTGAAAACAAGCAAACAAAAAGGTAAATACACGTTACACATCTTTAAGCAGTCTGTGACTAAGTCAGGACTTCTGCTTCACAGGCAAACAAGCTCTGACAAATCAGAAACTGGTGCAACATTTACTCTTTTTTTTTTTTTTTTTTTTAAAGTCAGTGAATCTTTTAGTCCACTGGAACTCATTCTGTGTTTCTATGGGCATCTCCTTCGCTAGGAGTTAAATCACTGTTCATATTACAGAAGAATATAGCAGCTAAAATTTCAGTTTATTTGCCTTGTTTGGAATGAGGACAAGCAAATAATTCAGGCACAAGTGTGTTCTGGTGCTTTAAGAGGTTGCTGGCAAAGCAAAACGGTACTATACTGCTCTGCCAACCTAACTCTAAACCTCGCCCCAAGAGAATTCATTATTTATTCACAAGCAGCTGTTTGATAGCTAGTTATTTTGAGATGACAAATCGTTTGTCACTCGGGACTCTGTCCAACAAGAATTAGCCATTGTTTTCCTTTCTGAGCAAGGATGGCATTGAAGCCAGGTATCAACTAATAACATTAACCCTTTAAGGTGGAAGAAAAGATGCTTACTTTTTTGGTATGAAATTAAGTTTTTATATCTCAACTATTCTTCTTTTATTGGCAGCCTAACAACAAGCCCTTCATAACCCACCACAGCAACTCCTGAATGTGTAAATTCTATTACACAAAATTATTTCTACAGTAATCTGAGAGTTTGAAGGTGGCCTGTGAACACTACAGACGATCCTAGGATCAATTGTTTAAAGACAGAAGAGCCTACCATTTCTAAAAACACCTTCAAAATTTAGTATCAGCACTTACATTTAACTTCCAAAGTTTAAATGTCTTTTTTTTTTTTTTACAGGCCCAGCTCTCCCTCCTTGGTAAGAGAAACCCAGCTCAAGATGGTAAGGTCTGTTTAATCCACTTACTGTCAATAATATCTCCCAGCCCTTGGGCACGCAGGAGATCCTTAAGCCTTGTCACCTCCTCCTTCAGCTCACGCACCAGCTTGGCATTGGGATCTTCATTGATGACAGCATTGCATTTAATCTGTTTTGCACGATCAGCGTATCTGGAACCACAGCAAAACAATGAAACCTTACAACGAACACAGAAATGCATATACACAACACAGGAATGCAGCAATATAGGAGACATTTAGCTTCCAGCTGTGTGTCAGAAGAGAATCCTGGATTATATTCAATCATTCATGTGAATTTCTATTTAATACAGGGTATTGCTGCAAAATAGACAAGTCCTATTCAAGATGGATTAACAATATGTACAACAAACAAGTTTTCTCTTTTTTCTTTATTCAGTGCTTTGAAGCCTAAGCTTGAATAATATGCTCTATTTTAGGGACCACACTGGAAAAGAACATACAAAGAGAAGGTGAGTTTGATTTTTCAAGTTAAGAGTTGGCAATAAATCCCTAGCTCTCTACTCACATACAATAGATTGGTTTTCCTCTTTTGGGATGATTGAGTTCTTGCCAGTATAGTCTTCCTCCCCCCAGACTTTATCAAAATACAATAACAGATGGTTTGAAAGATAGAATGTGGCTATTACAGCCAACAGCTACCCATATCCATCTCAGACAAAAAGAAAGTACCTTAAAGTGCTCAAAGTTTCATCATAGTTTATGTCTGCCGGACTCAAAGCAGCAACCATCGCAGTTCTGGAGTTACCACCTATAATGAACAGGCAAGATTTTAGATTAACTAGAGTGTACAATTTAGGCACTAATTGCCTCTTAAATATCAGTATTTTCAATAAAATATAGAATTCAACTATATTCTACATTACTAATGAACATTAAAAAAATCATAGGAGAGTTGTAACTTTAAAAAAAGGTGGAACTACATGGCTCAGATTTGACTACCAGAAATATTTAACCTCATGCTTGATATGAATTTAAGGTAGGTAAGTTGAAAGCATTTAGTGAGAATTTCTTTTCATACTGGCACAGGCAAGTCAACCATACCTAGATTTTCTCGAAGAAGCCATGTTAGTACAGAATCCCTGTATGGTATGAAGTCTGTCTTCTTCTTTTTTTTACTCTACAAAGAAAGAACACACTACTGAAAAATAAGACATGGGATGGAAAATTAATATTTAAGACATAAAAATCATAGTATAGGTATTAAAAGAACCATGACAGCCTACACACATGCTATCTTAACAAGGGGCTTGCCCATCTCAGGTGTACAAGTGATTGTTGAGTTTGCTATTAGATAACATGCAACATATTCAGACATCTAAACAGATGATGATAAGCAGTTCACAGAACTCCCTTAATGCACTACCTTCAGAAAGGTTTTTCTGTGTAGGAAGAATATCTTCCTGACATTTAAATTCTGTGTTCTAACACCATTCCAAGAAAATTTAAGCAGTAAACCCTTACTCATTCCTGGGAAGATTCACTTTTCCTTTCCTAGAAAATTTACGTCTTTTCAGAGCAGTCAAAAGCGTATTACTGGAGGCTGCACAGCTACAGAGATACAGGTGCACATGTGAAAAGACAACTATCCAAACTTCTGTGTTTCTGTAAGCAGTTATTAGGAAACTTGAGGACGGAATAGCTGAACACTTGAACACTGAAATTAGAACTATGAGGAGAAGGGAGGTGGTTTGGAGGCATTTTGTGTGTTGCTTAGGTTTGGGGTTTTTTTTAAAAAGAAGAAAGATAATATCTTTAGAGACTACTCAAACCAAAACACAAGGCCACAAGGCCCAAGTATCCAAGTACTCTGTCCCAAAATCAGTAGTGACAAATGTACATCTTCCCCACAAGAGAAAAGGGCCTTCCCAAAACCTTTGGCAGACTTCCCGTCAAATTTCATTGTAAAGCCTTTCCCTAGCTTTGTTTGGTCTAAATTTGGTCTAAAAGAACAATGATTAACTTCAAAAGCTCCATAACAGAATGTGAGTCTTGGGTCATCCATTTACTTACACAGTCAGTAGGCAAACGTCTTGCTTCAAGAGATGCCAAAAGTTTAATTCCACACAACATTTAACACAGGATATGGCTTTGCAATAAAAGGCCCGATTATAATTTGTGTGAAACTCCTCTTAACACACAAGAGGTGCCTAAAATGTGTTAGTCTTGCAATAGTTCTGTTGTCCCCTGCAAAAGGTGAATAACCTTACAATGGACAAGTAAAATTACTAAGGGTAGGTAAGAACCAGATGCTAAAGCTGAAATCTAGAATTGACTATAGCCTAGAATCTATCACTTGGGGTAAAGAAAAGAAGTATTGAGTAGATGCATGAAAGCAAAGTTTTCCATACTAAAAGTAAATATTCCCAAGGTAAGTCATCAAATCAGGAGCAGGAATGTAATAGAAGAATATTCCTAAATAGATAATTAAATGTGTAGTTTTCATTAATTTATCCCCCACCTAAAAAGTTTTTTTAGTACTGATAATTCTCAGGCTTCATAACTATAATTTATAGTCACAGCATTTTCTCAAAGATCTGACATAAAAGATCCCTGTTCTTTGATTCCAAAGTGAAGAGAATAAAATCTTACACTCAGGAAGAAAAAGACAACATCCACTACTACTCAGACCATCATACCTTGTTAGTGCAGTTATCCTAAGTTGAAAGCAGCAAAGAAAGAGGAAGAAGATACAAGATGAGTTTCTGAACAGAGCTTTAGATGCAATTCCCATGTTAGCTTGGATAGTATTTTATGTTCTTGAAAAGTATAATGAATGTTTATAGTTTTCATTTAAAAAAAACCTAAAAAGCACTTAAGTATAGTCAACCTGTCCAAGCTGTTGAGAACTCACTTTTAAAAAGAACAGCAATAATTTACCTGGTTTATTTTAAATAATAGTTGATCATAAAAGACAGGGTACTTTTCTAAACCTACATTATGTTTGGGTCAACATATGCTCACTCAACACATTAAATCTTGTCATTTCAAAAAAACAAACAGTGATAATCAAATTATTACACTGGTATTTCTAAACCCTTTAACAACTAAGCTGCAGTTGGTTTTCTAAAATTATTCTTTCAAATAAAAATAAAATTACCGCCCTGAAGAACCAAAAGCCTGTTACATGGATGTATCTTCCACACAAACGCAGGCTTCTTTTGCAAGGTTTCTTCACAGCTAAATAAACCAATGCTTCAATCTATCAACAGATAAAGTTTCTACCAGACTGCATCACATTCACAGAATACCATAAACACTGGTCACCTACTGAACTACACACACCTAGTTTGGCTGAGAACACTAGGCCAAGAACAGTGAAGGATTCTGCTGTACTCCATGGTTTTTACTGTCGCAGTTTTACTAGCTACAGAAAGACTGTTGAAGGTAAATGTTGTACTTACCACTTCAGCTAGTGCTGAAATAACTTTGCCCAGAGTTGTGAGAGACTTGTTTATATTTGCTCCTTCCTGAGAAAACACAATCCAGTATTATATAGTAATTAAAATTGTTCAGCCATAAATCTCTGTATGTCACATCCATGATGAGAGGGGAAAAAAAAAAGTCTTCAGTTTTGCAGCTGTTTTTTCCATACTTATAATAGCAATCCTTTCTTTTCCTTATTATTTTCCAAGCAAAGACCCCACACGCTTGTGCACCCTTTCTTTCCCCACACATCAATGGCCCAATACCTTTAATCGGGTTCCTTTGGCACCAGTTGAATCAGCCCGCTCACTCCCAGCTAGATCCACAAGGCTGATCTTGCTGACCTGAAGAGGGAAAGCACATTAAGAACAAGAATTAGCTCTTGGTGAACTAGACTAAGAACAAAATATCAACCAATTCTATGACATGAGAAACACTCTCCTGTCTAAAACAGAAAAACCCCCAAAAACTGATCACTGTAATGTGCTTATAACTAAAGTCAAACAAAGTTTTCACAAACAATTAGCTTGATGCTGTTATCTTATGGATAAGAAGTGTCTGAATATGCTCTAAGTATCACTATACCTATAAAGAGAGAATGAGATCTCACATGAACAGAGCAGAACACAAGCCAAATAAATCATTACTGCTACATATAACACAAGAACCTCAAAGGATGAGAAACTTAATGCTTCATCCTGACCACAGTGACACCAACAGTAAAGCACTGGCCTAACTAAAGATACAGAGTGCATGTCAATTAATGATAATTTTACAGGGTCTTACGGGGGGGATGTGATGTGTGTGTGTGGTGTGTGTTTTCAATACATCTATTTTTTCAGATCTGCCCACAGTAGTCAGTTCAGAAATGTGACCATTACCTGTAATTCACCTACATTGCATGCAGAGTCTCTATTTCAGTTATAAAAGCCAGAAAACTGTTCCACGCTAAGCAGTGTGCCTCCTTTGTAACATGCGAATTCCAGCAAGTGTCTCAGTCTCACTCATCCCAATTTCTATGCCCTAACAAGGCAAGCAATTTGCACTGACAAGCAAAACCTCAGAAGGTTTTGGGAACATGACTGCGGAAGATACACATTTCATAGATTGCTTCCCACTGAACCTAGTCCTTAAGGCTGTATTTTCCCTCACCTATATAGTCTCCTCCTGCACATATTCACAATTTAGTTGGTTTTAGAATTACAATCAAACAAAATCCCACAAGAAATAAAAGGGCTGTCAAGGGACTCAGCAAATTCAGCCTTAAACAAACCACCAGAAAAAAACAATTAATTCTCATTTTCTCACTATACTGCCAATTGTCCAGTTTAAACCCAGCCATGACTACATGGAAGATTGTGAAAAACAAGTCAGAACACTGCTTATCTGTAACATACCTTCTCTGTGGAAAGATCAGTTTCTGTGTCATGTTTCTTCTGAGTAAAGACAATTGTAAACACAGCATGAGAGCGGCTGCTGGTTTCATTCATGTTGGTAGCTGCCACGGTCCTAAAATATGAACAGATATAGGCATGTTTAGAAAACAGTAGCCTCTATGCTGCAAGTACAACTACCTGCAGGGCTAAATGCAGCTGGAGAGGAACAAGACCAGAAGGCTGTAGAGTTGATGTTCTGCCCTGTAACCAAGACCAAGCCAACCAAATATCATTAACAAACCCTTTGATTTCTTCCACTCCTGAATTACTCCCATCTTAATCACAGTTTAAACAGAGCTTCCTCAATCTATGTACTCCATAAGCTACTTCACAACACCCAAGAAAACACAAGCAGCATTTATGTCAGTCTTTCCCACACAGCATTTATGTCAGTCTTTCCCACACGTTGTTAAATGGAGCCTACAGCTGACAAGAAAACAACTACTAATGAACCGGAACTAAAGCTAGAATGCCAACTTTAGTTCTGACCACTCGAATGAAAGAAAAGACTGTGTTCACACGTCTATTTATACCAATATAGTGATACAGTACATAACGAAGGCAGAACTAACATCCAGTATAATTATTTACATACCTCATGTCAAGCCATTACAAGCTTTAAATATCTATACAGCCATTTGCAGGGCTATTTCACCACACAAATCAATTTCAGCCTTTTAATAGCATTGATTGGCGCATATTTCAACAATAATCCTCATACATCATGAATTTTTTTAAAAAGTGCCAATGCATCACAGAAGGTATTTTAAATTTGTTTCTATATGCCATTTATACCCACAACAGAAATAAAAACATGTAATGTGCCACCATCACTAACCTGGCTTTGTTCCCAGCATCCATGAGGTCTGCAATGTCTGTATAAGATGTGACTGCTAACTTGGACAGATCTTCCACATATGGTCCAAGCAGAGGATGTTCTCGCACCCGCAAATTCCCTTTGTTCTTCGGGTTCAACAAGTCTCTGACTCTCTCACAGTAAATCTCCATGTAACTCACCTGAAAGCATGAATTTGCATGGACAATTTAGCATTTCTTAAGGCTTGCTCTGCAAGCAGCTCTGCAGCATTTCAGAGTGCCACTTGTAGAAACTCCCTCAGTCCCCTACTGGAAAGCTGTTGGGGAGTCTCTAAATTCATTTAACAACTTGAGACAAGGGCAGAGGGAAAGAAGAGTCACTAGTCTCATGTGTCAGATCTCCAACGTAAGCTGCAGGCTCTGCATCCAGGTATAGATCCCTCGGCCATTTCAAAAAACATTGGTGTTTAATTAAGAATTACACACTTGAGTTCACAATCACCTTAACAGCTTTATTATGACACAGCAGCAAAACAATTTTTCTAAAGAGGCAGACAAGAGAGATGGCAAAAGGAGTCTGCTTACAAGGCATCTCATGAATTTTAGAAGGGAATAAAAATTATTTCTTTGTATGCAAAAGCAACTTTTGATTCTAAGCTGTACCCACGTCCTGCTATATTCGAGTCATCAGTACAATTATTCAAAGTACAGCAATCTTAAACCTGCACCCTTTGAAATAAATTATAAAGCTAAGATTATTTTTTAATGCATTCTTTAATTTTTATGTTTTTCATGGCACTGGGCTTATGCCAGTCCAACAGGTACTTTGCAGCTGCAGCAGTCAAGATATTAAATATTAAAAGAGACAGTAAGCTATTCACTTTCATTCTGTGGAGAGATTACAGATGTAAGCAGCGGTTTTAAAAATTTAAGGTCTCTTTTTGTGTAAGTGCAATTCAGAAAAATTAATTCCATATCAAAAACAGATCACATACCCTATTTATACATTTTCATTACTATTTCTGCCTAGCTGTCTTCCCTTGTCTGCGTATTTGTCAGATGGTTATAATTTCCATTATGAGAGAGATGATTGCTCTCTCTCACATGGACAAGTCTATGCTTGGAGACATAATCAAAACCATTAACAAGTACCAAATATAAAAAACATCATGAAAATGTGGGAATCTTCTCATTCACAAATCCTAAATGTGATACTCCCATGGTATTCAAGCACTAAGACATCAAATGTTAATAAGATACAATTAAACAAAAAGTTAAAATAGACAGATTCAAAGCTACAGAACTAGTCAATTCCCGGTTCTGTAATTTAGAAGCAGTCATGACTGAAGCTCACTTTTATTAATAAAAATCACATCTGACTTCTTCTGGCTTTTTTGTCCTCCTTTCTTTTGAAGCCTGCAATATATATGCAGGTCAAGCCATTAAGACTGATTAGAGGAAAAAAAAAAACAGTAAAAGAAAGAAAAAAGCAGATGCTTTTATTTTTATTTTGGAGCAGGGCAAAGAGACAAGACAGAGAAAGAAATGCTGTAGTATGATAGCATAAGAAAACCACTTTCTGAACAACTTAAGTAAGGCTAATAATTAAGAAAAATTAAGTACTGACAAATTCCCTATGTATGCACAGCTTAAACAATTTTTTGTGTAAAACAACCTTACTGACAGATGTCAGGAAAGACTGTGTGACCAAGCTATTCTAGACAAGTCCTCTAGACATACAGGGTATAAATTATGACTGTAGTAACTGACAAGAATCACGTAAGTCTTCCATTCAGCAGTAAAAAAAAAAATTCTGTAAACGCATGTTTAGGTTTCTCAGCCCATGATTTCTTTCAGAATTGCTACAAAGGTAAAGGTATACAAATTTCCTTGTGGAGTAAAAAAAGTTCCAGAAAAGTTTTATTTACATTTGCCTCAAACATGAAACAGAGAAAAGACACACCCAAAAAAAAAATTCGGAAGTCAGAATCTTAATAATGCAGCACTTAAGATCAGTTTGATGTCCAGCTCACTGACACTCTTTGATCCCTCACCGTACTCACCTCTACAGAATATGACATTTCTTCATTGCTGTTGTCATTGATTTTCTCAAACAGTTCCTCACATAGCTGGAAAGAGATTAAACACAAGTCAGAAGAATGCCATTAAATTAGCTTTAGAGCGAGGGCAGGAGAAGAAACTATTATATCAACCACATAACAGGCTCACTGAGAAGATACTTAATCTCAATTCTACATCACTGTCATCCACACTTATTTTCTATAGTATCTCAACAACTGTTCTAAGTTTATCCAGTATTATTATTCTGTACTATAAAATCAGAAAAAGCCTGTAACAACTGAAATGGAAGGTAATCATTTTAGAAAAGAATGATTAAAATCTTTATTCCTCCCCTAGTCTCATAAAAACAGTCTGTTTATTTGATGTGAAGTTCCAAAATTCGGCTTTAAATCAATAGACAGAAATTATCTCAAATTTTGGTTAACAGTATCTTCATATGCAGGGTACTTTAAGTAGCAGCAGTTAACCACTTCAGGAGTGCTTGTCTACAAGTAACTGAAATGAGACCTAAAATTAAGATAATAAAAGACAAAAAAAAAAGAACAGTTGGCAAGCCATGAATATATATTTGGAGGTTAAAAAGCATGGGTAGAGAGAGGAATTAAGGAGTAGAAAGAGGTTTCTTGAAACAGATATCTACAAGCCACTGTATGAAAAATAAACAGATTTTGAAAGGACACACTGAAGTATTCAGTCAGCACATGGTTAAAGTATCATAAAGTTTCACACCAGGGAGTGGCACAGAGGGAATTTTGCCAACACATAAGAATCTCATGTCAACAACCTGTATTACTTGGAAAATGGCTGTGCTGTAGCTTCTGTGTATGTGACAAGAAAGAGAACAGATTCAGCAAGGTCTCCCTGAACAGATAAATCATGTTGTACCTTTATGAGAAAGCCTCCAATGAAATTGGAGGGAAATGATTTTGGTTTGGAACTGTAGTAGATAACAGGAGCATTATTAAATCTACTAGAGCATTATTAAGTTGGGTTTTTCTTAGGAACACATTTAATTTGTATGTATTTGAGGTTTCAGAAGCACAAACAGGAATATGAAGATTACAACAAAAAAAAAAACCACTTTAGCACAAAGCTGCTGTTACAGATTTTCAGCTCATCTCCCCTTTTACACTGCTACTGTTATAGTACTGTGATAAAAACAAAATGCTTAGCTGTAACAATTCTGTCCATCACATCAGCTCTTTCAACATTATTTTAAGCTAATCACTTGCAACCTATTGCAGTACGTATGCCCCGGTGTTAACAGGGAACAAAGCTCCGTGTTGTCCATTTCACACCTGTGGCACAGGGCCAATGTCTACAGCAAACCTGCAGCAGAATGAGGACTCAAGCTGTTCAGCATATTTACTTATTAAAACTGAAATCCAACCTCGGATTTCTATTTTGGGAATGGAGGAACACACTATCTTCCCACAAACTTGGGCCACCATCAGCGCCTACACACTGAGGAAGGTCTGCATTTAGATCAAGTGTCACACAACCAACTGCTATAGAATGCTACATTCATGATGATGGCATAAATTCTTGCCAGCCAAAATTTCTTGGGGGGTGTATCTCAACTTCTTCAAATTCCACAGCAAATGTCAAAAAAGAATTTCAAAGGGGGAAAGTAACACTGGGCTGTGCTCAACTACCATAAATACTTTTTCCTAGTATTTTGATATGTCTTCAATTCTTAGCAAGATATAATACTCAAATTTTAGCTTAGGGAAACTTGTTTCCACATAAAGTTTGTGGCATGCTCATCAGTAATACCACCTTTCAAATTCCTGCTGAATATAAAGCGCTTAAGTGCTGTCCCAGCTAAAGTCAGAGAGGAAGACAAGAAACCCCATGAATAGAACATCTTGATTTACTAATTTATTGGGGAAGTGGAGAAATTGGTTGTAGGAAAAATAGACAGAATGTATAGTATAATTAAAAAAAACAAGTAACAGAGGGAAAATTACTTATAATGCTCTTTCCTCAGTAGACTTCTTTCACTCCAAAAGTAAGCTGTAGTTCTCTGTTAACCGTTATTGCAATATAAAAAGAGCATATAAGCAAGCATGTGTCTGAACATGCTGTAAAGAACAAACCCCCTCTCCGGGTTCTGTCCTACCTGGGGGATTATGCCTGCTTGGCTCTCCTCCTGTTTGCCCATCATAGTGTAGGATTTCCCAGCGCCGGTTTGTCCATAGGCAAAAATGCATACATTGTAGCCCTCAAAGGCATGCAGCAGCATCTCCTTCCCAATGTCATTGTACACACGGTTCTGAGACGCAAAGCAGGGATCTTCAGGCTGAAAAGACATGAAAACAGCATAAATAGAGTCTTACCCTAGCATTCAAGTAACATTCCAAAAAGCTTTTAACTTGTGGGTCAGACTCTTAGGAAGAGGCAAATATAGCACATTTTCACACACAGCTTTTTCCCAAGGCAGTACCAGCTGGAGAAGAACAACAGTAACACTTGCAGGAGCACTCTATCAATGCTGAGAAAACGATCTGCACAAAGAAACCAACCAATTCTGTTTGGTGAACACTGTTGACACTACTGGAAAGTTTCATACAAGATCACTGACAAGTGAGATTCAGGGTGTTTGGGAGGAGGGAGGTGGAGGGGAGAAAATCAAATGTAGGGTTCGGAGAGCTAATACAAATGAACAAAAGGCTGGAAGCTACAAAAATCTCATAGTGGATGGTCTTGACAAAGACTCTGGTAGCAGGGGGAAAAGAGAAGCAGAAGTTGCTTAAAGTTTGGGGTTAAAAGAGTATAAAGGAATCAATAAAATGACCATCTATTTCTTGCAGCTGTCTGATTCCACTCTCTAATACAATCCAGGTTTCTATTGACAACCTCACTGCTGACTACAGAATCCCTAAGTATGTTAATAAATATTTCAAATTAGCAAGTACCTGAACTAGTGAAGGCCAATGTATCAGAACATTGTTCCATGGCTAAACTCAAGGTTAGCAATAAAACTGAAACATAACATTGAATTAAAGAAAAAAAAAAAAGCTACTTTGAAACATAAACTCTACTGCAGATACATCCAGTGATAGAGATCTGTATAAGGACAAAGCAAGTTATCTTCAAAGGCTCGACTGAAGTTGGTTACACTTTGAAAAGAGGCACTGCTGCACATGCAATGAAAAAAATGACAAGTTAAAGATGGCAAAAAGAATACACTTGCCAGAACTCAAGGCAAGTACAGAACCTGTTCCAAATGAAACTTGAGTAATTGCAGAAATTAATTCTCAATTATTTAAGAAGTGCGTTTCAGGTATTCAGGCACTATACTGATCAGACTCCAACATCCAGTCACAAGAGGCAATCCAAGCTCTAGGCATGGTACAGGACACAAAATCACTGACAGAAAGCTGGATTCAGTATATATATTTATGTTCTTTCTTCTGATGTCATCTCTTGATCATTTAGGAAAGTCCTCTATAAATATACTTGAAAAAAATCATACTAATTATCTACGCAGATGGTTTATGTTGTGTTCGTGCAGAGAAGAAACTTAGAGGAATGCATTATTCCTTTTTTCTAGATCTTTTGAATAAGTAAGGCAGGGGAGGGGTAGATGGCAGAACACCACAGTTCTGCTGTAGAACAATTACTGGAAGTCAGAAAGACCTTAGCACCAATTCGCAGGAGGGTGGGGCAGAGGAGCTAGATGAGAGTTTATTGCTTTTGCAGCTAATCGGAAACATGGATCACTACTCTGTCTTTTCCAGATAGTCCAAGGGAACCCAGACCACATCTCTCCTTGAACTGTAAGAACTCGAGCAACTTTCATTTTTCTAACAGCAAAACTGAATTAACTGTGTTTCATACTCATCCTCAAAATATGTAGAACATTGTTAGAGAATATTTTCAGTAGACTTGCAAACATTTACAACTTGTTATTAGACTCAAGGAGCTTGGCTTTCTGCTCTCCTTTAAACAGGTAAAGAGAGCATACAATGACAAGCTTTTAACCTGAAGGAGTGCGAGAGAGACATCTGACAGGGATGGCATGATCAGAAGAGAATACAGTTAAATCAGTCAAAAAACAAAAAAAAACCCACAAAACCCACAAAAACCACAAAACAAAAAACCCCAAAGCAAACAAACAGTTGTCTTGTAAAAACTTACCGATGTGTGGGACCAATAAGAGTAGTCGAAGCTGAAGGACTTTGGTGCTTCCTTAGGATTCTTTGGGTTGATAATACCTACAGGAAATAAAATTTAAACTCTTAGCTAACGTGACATTTAGGAGTGCAATTAATGAGCTTGCTGACTCTCAATTCAATCTGTGATCCAAAATATGCACAGAGTTGCCACACTGCACAGGAGTAGTAAGATTGAAGTAACAGACTCACAGCTTCCTAACATAGTATTTCTGTAGGCCTTATCTGAAATAAGTCAAGGGAAAAAAAAATAATCCTAGAAAGAATGCTGCTGCTAAACAGAATTCTGTTGGACAGAAAGCCAGCAGTACATCATCCTGATCCCTTGGCTTCTAGAACAGTACAGGTTTTTTTGGAGTTGAGGGATTATCAGCAAGAATGAAGATCCAAAAGACAAATTCAGGAATCCGTGGTGATTTCATAGCAGCACAATGAAAGTCTATTTAGAAATATATTTTACACAGTACAAGCGCTCACTGTACAAGGATTTTCTTTAAGAAACTCAGTATTTTCAGGGCATGGAAGATACAAACCAAAAATTGGATCTACAGACATTTCAGAGATTTTCTGCATAATTTATTTCCATGTTCTTTTACATGCACAAAGCCTTTTAATAGGACTGACATGAGCTGAACCAACCAAATTACTGTTAAGTGTCCTTAGTGTATACAGGCACTGAATTCCAGTGACCCCCCCCCAACCAACTTGTGTACCTTTTCCTCTTTGGAACTTATGTATAATATATGATGGTCCTATGATAAAGTTCACACACACGCACAAAAAGCCAGAATGAAAAAATGCCAGTGTACAGTTATAGCCTTTAAAAGTCTCATTCAAAAAGCTGTCACCAACTGCCTTTTCAGCTCTTGTAACCCTTGCCTTCATTTTCTTCCCAAAGTATTTATATAAAGAATCAAAGAAACTTCAGGTGAGCTGAGTCATTGAACACTTTACAAATACCAGAATAAACCTGCTTTAATAAAAAAAACCCCAAAAAACAAAAAACCCTGTTTTCTCTTCATATCAGTACATCTGTAAATTTTATGCTCTCTTCCTTTACTCAGATCCTCTAATTCTTTCAGTATTGGACCCACACATGCGCATTCCCCACAATTAACAAAAGCTCTTCCAGATACTTTTTAGGTTGTTGGGTTTGAGGATTTTTTTTTTCCCCCTTTCCCAGCAACAGCACAGCTTCCTATAACCTTTGCCTGGGGGGAGTAATGCACAATGGATTCAGCTGTCATTTTAATGACATACAGAATGTCTGTAGTTTCTGTATTCCAAGGAGGGTAATTTATAAGCACAGCTCTTGTTGCAGAAGTGAATCTCTACTGCTTCCTTCTTTTCAGTATTACAGTGCTGGAAAAACTTAAATCTATTATTTCCAGCAGCTGTTTTCAACACCATCTGTGGAAGGATGGACTGTAAAAGGCATATTCTCAAGGGTATCAAAATTAGATAAACCACCTTAGGTTTACACATACCCATCCTGCACCTAAAGCAGCAATCTGCCTTTGGGAGTGATAGACTAATTGTGACACATGCAAACAAAATCTACAAAGAAAGAAGCCATACTAAGGTGGTGACAGTCTTCCTGGGGATGATTTACATCCTGATACCAATCATCCTAAACAAAGGATACTCAGTTCTCACATAGAGTTAGAGGCTATGCTTTGGGAGATGGGGAATTCTCCCTTCACTTCTGTGATAAATACTAATTATAGCACCCACATCTCTTATCATTTCAAACATGAACTTAACATCATGTTGCACTGAAATCTCTGAAAAAGTGGTTACAGAATCCCTCATTCAAATTAAATCACTCTCCTAACAGATGCTGTGGCCCTGAACGGGGCTGTTGTCCAAAATTACAGCGTGAAGAAAAAAAATCATTGTCTGGATTGCAAATAGCAACAGTTGCTACTCTATTTCTCGTGGCCAACTCCATTTCCCTTGGATGCACCTTGTGCTGACATTCTTGCCTTACAAAAGCTGATAGAAATGCAAAGCAATGAATAATATGCCTTGCACCAGTACAGTATCAGATGGCAAAAACGCTTGTGGCTTTGGATAGCAACATGGGCATCAACACATAACAAACTGGTAACCTAAGCAATCATATATGGCTTTATTTTCCCTCTTCTAGTTTTAAACAAACAGCAATACATCTACAGCATGCACTACTAAACCAGTTCTAAAGTTAAAAGTGAATAACAAGTCCCAGAAGACAACTCCTCTGCCCCAAACTTAAATCATTCTCTCTTTTCAGCGTATTCCAGGCTGCTACAATTCAACTACTTGTCATTTCTCATTCAATTATTTAACATCAAAGCTCTGAAAAGTAAGGAAGAAGTAATGCCTGGTACCCAGAAGTTCCTACCCAAAAAAGCAGTACAAATGAAAACCAATCTCCTCATTAATTCAACGTAACAACCTTTGGAAGTCAATAACATCATTATTTTCTTCAATTGTTTTGGGCTATAAGTTCAAGGGAAAGTAATCGAACCATTAAAAGCAGAAAAAAGCAGAATTAAATAGAACCCATTCCTATGTACTAGAACCTATGCCTATGTACTGTATAACACAGTTCTAAGCAGATACAGGAAAACATGTATTGCCAGCACCTCTCCTGACAATATACAGTCTGTTGATTAATCTCAACAGCAAATCATTTCAACCCAAACTCTTGATACTACTCTTGTGAGAGAATTCATGGCTAGGGAAAGAGAGAGGCAGCTACCTTTACTGGTGCATTGCATTTGCAACACTGTCCTGGAAAAGGGAAACTCCTTGCCTGGCAAACTGTGAAGGCAATCAAGACACGCAGAAGCCTAGGTACATTTTTGCTGACCAAGAAACATGTTTTTAACCACACCCTAAAACCACGCATTGGTTACCCCAGTGTCACATTGGTGCAGTTTTATTTGAAGGTGCAAATGCAATCACAAAAGAGAGCTTTGATCTCACTCATTTCCCTCTTGACATGACTGATTGTCTCCTCTCAGAAGCAACAGTGAAATAGCAAGTATTCATCATTTTTATATCGTTGTTTATAAGCAAAAAAGGACATTTCTCTTGCCCAGTGCAAAGCTGCATTTGGTCTCTCCAAGGAAACAAGAGTTAAATTGCCTTTTAAGATTCTGTTGTGTCAGAAACAGAAAACAGAACAAGCAGCACAAATTTCACCATTATTCAAAACTAGGTTTGATGTAGAAATACACACTTCCCATTAATTGTTTAAAAAAAACCCAAAAAACCAAAAACCTCTAGGAAAAGTCCACCACTTCCAAATAGAAAGCAAAGATGCTAAACGTTTAATCAGAATAATAGGTAGTTTTTCCTCTCTGTGCATAAAGACACATCGACCACCCATGAAAAGCAAAGATCTCTAACTATGCAACAGGCTTAGTGTCTGGAAAGGCACTACAAGCTTGCCACTACAGCTTCATCCTACTTGCTTCAAGCTTAAATTTGATCCATCACATTTGTGAAGAGGGAATTTCAGGCTCTGTGGTTTACACAAGTGGTTCCACTATGTCCCATCTTTTTTTAAACCATATTTTTTATTATTTTGTTAAAGAGGCTTTCCTCAGCTCCTTCACACTAAGTTCCACACCCAGCTGACTATTTTGAAAACTACTTTCCAGGATGCATGTTTTCGTAAAGCATATCTTGAGAAGCGTATCAGGAAAGGGAGATTAATGTGCAAGAAGGCAGCTCTGTCAGAGGTTGGGAATGCAGCTGTCCAGCCAAAACCTTCCAGTGCAGCAGGAATGGGTCAGAGAAAACCTCCTGGCTGCCAGGAACTCTGCATGCTGTCCCTCACTACTGTGATCCAGTCAGAGCCTTCTCAGCTTCTAGTCCAAGCCTCAAGTCTATTTATCCCCATTCCTGTTCCTTACAGAGTCTACATCCTCCATTTTCAGAATCACTGGTTTCACAGAGTTTGCAGCCTGTCTACAAATGAATCCAGGAGAGTTGATTGAGAAAATGTAAGATTACCACCTTAATGGATTTCAATCAGACTGCAACCCTCTTCATTTGGAACACTGAGCACCAAGTGGGTAGCTACTAGCATCGGTCACGTCTGATTCGGTCCGAGTTTGAACCAAGTGACCAGGTACGCAATAATGCGAAATAAGACACCTGAAAGAAGATGAGGAGGCAGCTAAGAAACCAGGAATTCAAACTGAAGTAACTGACCTAACTTGAAGGTGTCTAATGCACCAAGCATCTTCTTCAGAGGGACAAGCAAAACCATGAAATCTAACTACTTTTAAAGAAGCTAATGGATATTTCTGAAGAAATTAAAAGACTTCTTATAGTACAGGTAAGCTTTATCCTAAAAGTTCATACACCGAATTGGGAAAAAAAAGAAACAAACGTGAAGAAATTTAGACTGAGTGAGCAACACTAATTTTATGTACAGTGATATTCAGCAAGCTGTGTTTTCAGCTGAACAAGGAAGCGAACAGAATTAAAAAAGAGGACTGTTTCCAGCGTCTCCAATACCCACAAGAACACTAAAAGCTTTTCAGTTATTTTGTTTGTTTTTTAAACCATGCAAGGCCAAGATGAATTGTATTAGTGAATCATGAAATAGGTCGTCATCTATCTCCTCTCACCACTGCAGACTCAAGGCATGGTACGCAGGCTAATGGTTTAATTACAGAGCCTCAGGAAATGAGAAAGGCAATAAGGCAGACGATCACAGCAGGAACACATTAATGGCCTTTTTATCTTAAAGAATAAATTTGTTTATCTGCTATTTCAAAGGTCCAATGTGGCAATTAACTCTTCTGTTTGTAAACTGACACTAATGCTTTTTGCCGCAGCTATAATTAGTTACCATCAGCATGGCACCATAGCAACTTTGAATGTTGAACTTAGCCTACAGCCAGGTTCTGAGAAACTCAATCTCTTTTTCAGGCCCCTTTCTTCACCAAGAGCCAACTTCTTAGGTCATGTGAAATCTTTCAGCTTTCCACAAGTTAAGGTTTCTGCATCAAGCAGAAACTGGAAAGGATATTTTAAAGTCA